TCTGTATTTAAGGACCTGGGAATGAGAAAGGGTTGTGAAGTGTGTAAGAATAACTACGCTCTCCACAAAATCTGTGAAAAAGGCAAAAGGCTCTTTCTACAGCCAGTGTTTGGTTTGTCCATTCTTGGCTACTGTATGATGGTTCAGCATGGCGGACTCCATGGAAGGCGAAAACATACCTATGAATATTATATATGTATTATATTACATTTCTGTTAATAAATCATCATAAATATTACACACTGGACTTTTAATTTCATGTTTATCAAAATGAAGTGGCTAAAACTCAATATTCAATATAATAAGACACATATAATCTCAGCCTCCCTAATTTGATTCTAGACAGGGACCTTTGAAGCATTGTATCCCCCTTCATCTCCCTATGTTTTCTGTCTGTCTGTGTCAATGAAATTAAAATATCTCCAAAATATCTTTAAATTTTTTTTTATGGAGATGGAAATATGACAATTACTATCTACATTTACTACATTAGGGAAATATGGATAATAAACTAACTGTATAATGCATTTGTTAAGAGTCTCACTTCAAGAAGCATTAAGTAGCCACCATATGGACCTTGCACTTTTTTGAGGTAAAAACAACAACAGAGAAGAAGATGGGCATAAAAGTGCCCTTTTGGATGCCCCTATGTCTTATGGGTACAAAAGTAGACACATATTGTCATTGAGAAACACTGTTTTTACACTGTATTCTTGTCAGTAATCAGCTCAAGCTGCAGAATGCCATCCAGAATGGTCCAGATTAATGGCATAAAAATAAAACAACTGTAGCAGCTTCGACTGAAACAAACAAGTTTCAGGTTCAGTGTTTGCATCCTGGACAAAACAACTCTTGTAATTAGGCTTTAAATCATACAGTATGTTCCTGGCTTAAGTATAATATTGGAACACAAATGCATGAGAAGATGACACACAGCTTTCCGTCATCTGTCATACTGAGTCAGAGCTCATTTTTGTCCCTGTGACTAGAGTTTTGATGCATCAAGGAGCTGAAGGGACTGGGGGTCAAAGGTCTGCTGGTAGAATCCACTATCAAAACAAGCTCCAGTAACACTAGATGCTCTCCATTAAGATGTATGTAAAGCCAGAGACTTCTGGGAAAAAAGTTAATTTTTTTCTGACGTTAGTAATAGTATTTTTTCGTGTGGGGCAAATCCTCTTACAATTTGTCCATGTTCAGCAAGTCAATGCAGGACCATTTGGGTATGCTAGTGGAAGATTATCCACTGACATAGGGCTCTATAAGCGTCAGGTGTGCTTGCTTGGAGAAAGTTTCTATAGATGCAGCAAGAACAACCCAAACTGAACATTGGGGGATGAAATTGCTTAAAATGATTCATTGTTTTTGATTGATGTATGCATTGGATACATGACAGGTGCGAGCTGTTCTTTCAAAATAATTCTTTGAAAAAATAGTCCTGACAATTTCATGGTTCACTCGAGACTGTCAGTACGGCTATCCTGAAATATTCAGACATTTAAGAGTAATTATCTATAAAACGATCCATGTTAGAGCGAGAACAGTTCCACAGCCAGGAGATCACTGTAGAGAAAGCAAAGACATCAATCCCCTGGTTGTTGATGAAACTTACATTTCTCAACATTGAGGTTGATGGGCTATCAAATATCAATGGTGTATGCATAGGCCGGCCTGTGTGAGGGTGTGTGTGGGAACTCTACATATGACCTGAGTTTAACCCTTTAGCACAGGTGAGCTGAAGCAGTTTGAGTCCTGAGCACACAAGACTGGAGCACCAAAGCAGAAGCATTATTTTGTTTTAAATTAAATGTAACAAGAAAGAAAAGTCCTTGTTCTTCTTGTTTTTCCTAAATGTATTTTTGGAGGCATATGCAAGATTAACAAAAATGTACTAACAAGGGTTCTGATTATTTGAGCTGTTCTTATTCCTGTGGAATAATTGTGCTTTAAACTCTAAAATTGTATTATAATCAGACTAGGCTTAAAAACAAGGTCATTCTTTGAAAACACTTTCAAAAAAAGAGATTAAAAGGTGTAGTTTCAGTTTGTATCATTAGAATGCAAAAAGTCAACCACAAATCATGATACATTCATTTGGAAAGCAAATGTCAACAAACAGATTGCCATTCAACAATGCAAATACTTCAAGCATAAGTGAGAACTGTGTGAGAAGTGATGTCCAGCTCTCCTATTTTCAGATTCAGTCTCTCTGTTGCTGGCTCGACGCATCATTCAGCACATACCTGTTGGGTCGAAACCTGCGTTCCCAGCGCGGAAGGTGAAACCCTGGAGGTCCCCGGCGCCTTGCGCGGCCACAAAGAGCGCGGCGGGGAAAACGAGGAGCAACAGAGGGGACAGAGGCAGCATTTCAGGTGGCAGATTATGTTGTCGTCCAGAGTTGAGAAACTCTTCAAAACAGATGGAGAAATAACATGTACCAACCCCCGGTCAGGAGGCACCAGTGTCAGTCTGTGTTAAGTGATCTGTTGCTATTACGGGTACAGCCAGAAGCGAGATGTGATACCGATGATTCACTTGACAAATCAGGTAAACTGGATTGTACTGCGCAAAAAGTCCCGATAGACGAACACAAGAGGGCTGTGCGTAAAAATACTCCAAACGTGGGTAATGGTATTCCGGCAAAAAATGACTGTTAGAAATCCATACTAGTAAATAAATAAATAAATAAAAAGTTAGGGTAAAAGGTCACCCATCATTAATAAAATCCAGTGTGACGCACAGCAGATCTCAGGGTTTTAAGGGCGCATGAAAACACCCTATTTAGGACCGTTTGGTGTTTAACTGAACACAACACAGGCCCATAATCCCGCTGAGGGCTCGCACTGCTCCTCTGTTCCTCTTTTTCCGGCTGGAGTCTGTGTTGTGTCGCCTTCTGGTCTCTTTATAAACCAGCTAATCGCACTGGTCTAGCGCGCTGTTTTCTCCTCTGTTATTTCCCAACAGAGACGTGGAGATGTGACGTTCTTACTCGGAACTGTCCGCCGTCTCTCCCCCCCCTACCCTTTCTCTCCCTCTGTCTCTCTCTAACCACAGGGCCCCCCAACACGTTATTATGTTTCCTAACCCACTCCCCAACCTAGCGCACGGGGGATCAAACATTCCTTTTTTGCTACGGCGTTGATCCAGTGACCTTGATATGCAGTTTTTGGATACCTTTGGCCTACCATTAGTAACAGAGCTGAGCAACTGCTCACAGTGCGCAATGCTGAAACCCAACAGTCTTTCCCACTTGATGATTTTTGCTACCCTTTCTGCTTTTGTGGCTTTGCTGATTCTGGTTTGGGTGGGGGGGATCAATTAAAGCCCCTCAGGCCTCACTGTGGGGAAGTGTTGCTTGAGGAATGCCAGGAATAGCATGTCATATGGCCGGGCTGTCTGGGTCTGACAGTTGTATCCTTGTTCACAGATCTTCAAACCATGCATGGACTTAGTAAATGTTTGTGCACCTGTTCATGGGGGGTTCTGGTGTGGGTGACGGTTTCTTCATTACACTTGCAAACGCAGACACACACAGTATGCCTCTTTTAACTAAATTAAACTAAATTATTGGTAGAAACGTGAGGAGTGAGGGACACAGAATACACACACACACACACACACAGACTTAAACAGTAACGAAGTGTCAGCTTTCATTCCAGCAATTCGGCTCACAGTTTAAAAATAGTGGGGCGGATTTGACCTCTAGTGAGCATGCCCAAGTGGCAAGTGTCCAAAAAGGCCACAGCAGTATCTGAGTGAAGATACAATATATGTGCATTTCACAGGATTGCATCCAACCTCATTGGTGATTATGAGACAAAGAACGGAGAAGAAAAAAAAACAACTATCAAAATACTCTTAAAATGCCAAACTCGATAAAACACAGCCACCAAAACACAAGTGATATTCAACTTCAACTTGTTTTTATTAATGACCTTCATGACACTGAAGAACCTTGGCAGATAAACTTCAAGAGCAATGAACAAGACTGAAAAGATGGAAGACTGGCATCGTATAGGGAAGGAGCAGTGAGAAACTAAAGGCAGGATATGAGAGTAAAGACACTTCATAAACACTGAAGAGCAATGAAAATGCCCATTAAGCTGCCGGTATGACAACATGAGGCCGAGTTAGCGTGCTAGCTCACAGTTGACCTTATGACAGTTGTAATGTGCGTCACACATCCTTGTAGACATTGTGTGTGGTACATAATGAGTCGACTGACCAAAACATCAAAGTAAGGCACAGTTGCTGCACAGTTGTAGATACAGTTACAGTAAAATTTGGGAATGAGCAAATATTTTACCAGGTGACCAAAATGCCACTTCCCTCCACCTCTGCAGAATCAGATATAATAAACACTGAATTAACTCTGGAGATGATGCATGAATTTTACTGTTACTGTGTACTGTAAATGGACACAAAGATTGTTCAGATGGGACGCAATGGTACCACAAAGAGGTGTCGCCGGTTTGTTGTGATGTAAATACTTTAGCCATATGACCATAAATCTACTCCTAGACATGCTGAAAACACAAGAAATTAAGTGATATACATCATCATCATGAACATATCCACCTGGCCAAACCTATCAAATTTACTCGAAACTCAATCTTGAAACATGATATACAGTATGATACAAAAAGCATGATGGAAATCAGGTTCAGGAGACATTTGAAGTTTTAAGTCAGATACTCTTGGTAGTGGTTTTAAGGCAACATATCCTGAATGACATAATGTCATTCCTGACTAGTTTAGTGAGTCAGTTCCATTTTTATGTTCCACCTGCTGAACAAGGTAGGTAGAGAGAACAAAGGAGGAGTTTGAATCTGTACAAATCATCACCTTATTGCATCAGACCCAAAGCACAACCACTGCTGGTTGTATTACAGTGGGTTCTACTGTAATTGCAGTCAGATGGCACGTTTGACAAAACAAGATTTGACCAAGATTAAATCCAAAGTATCTGACGTTGCTGAGCGTAGGTGGACTGTGAGGACAGTGCCACAAGCTAAAAGGCAGAGACAATGTTATTAAAGCTCTTCCTCAAACAAAAAAACTCAAACTCAAAAAGGAAATGTAAGGCCCCTTGCACAGACTGATGTCTTCAACATGACTAGACAGATATTAGTTTTAACTTTCTCTCTTTGTCCCTCGACTTAGCAGTGATTTCTACATAAACTGCACTGCTGTGTACATAGCTATGGTAAAATAGGTACTGATTATGTTTAGATTTGAGTTTAGGCACAAAAACAGCATGCTGATTAGAAAACACAGGCCTTGATCTCCCAGAATACACTGATAAGTGTATTACATAATATCCCACACATACACTACACTCATTAAAAATGTGATTTGATATAAAAAGTATTTTGTGACGGATCAGCTAAGGTAGCTATGTCAATAACGGCAGACACATATCCACATCTTAAATGTCTGATGAGTCTCCCAACAACCGTAGTTCAGTCATTTCTTTTCCCATTGTTATACACCAGGTAAAACTGCTGTATTGACTGTTAAGTAATTTGGAAATCTAGTTCCAAAACACGAGTGAAGATCAAAGAAAGATGAGAAGAGCAGAGGAGCTGCAGTCGGACTATTAAGAGACATACTAACAGGCCATTTCCACCTCTACCACCCCAATGAGGCAAAACTCAAATAGGAGTCAACATGACAAAAATTCTATTTGGTAACAAAAGTGAACCTTACTATGCAGTATCATACAAAAATGTCAAAATGTACCTCGGCAAAAGCTTATAAAATATAATATGAATAAAATAATATAATAATATTCCTTGGTCCGTAAAAACTATGTTACTCTTACAACAAATTTTCCCTTGCACACAACAGATAAATCAACAAGCTTTTCAGTACAAACATGACCTTGGTAGAAAGACAGCATAGTGAAATAGCTTCCAAACCCACAGGCGTATATATATATATATATATAAAAAAAAAAAAAGTACAAAAATTGTACAAATCAGGCATGTCGTGAGAGTTAGAAGGTAGATTCATCTTCTTGTAGGTGAAGGTCTTGGATCTCAAGGTCCTTTTTAGTGAGGCTTTAGACTTGTCCACAACAAGCCACGAGAGGGAGCTAAAGAGATGATTCAGTCAAGTGTTGTCCTTAACCTTCCCCCCATCTCTCTTTAGCATTCCTGTTGATCACAGTTGCTCTCTGATCAAAGAGTCTCTGAGTCTGCAGTGTGTGTGCAATTACTCACAGGTCCATGAGCCTCTTTGGAAAGTACATGTACACATTTTCAGTCATTCAAAGCATACATACAACAACACATATACAGAATAAGTCTTACCATCACTCCTGGAGTGCACATATAGATTATATCTGTAGCAAGGTACAATGACGCATTTACTTTCTTAGGAGGCTAGGGTCATTTGGAGCAAACGAACAGATTCTGTTATTTTTTCCCCCGCAATCTATAATACAGAGTGTTATGCAGTGTGGAATCAGTGCGCGGTACGGCTGTCTCTGTTCAGCTTAAAGCTCGACTGGCTAGACTGCTACGTATCTGCTCAAGATTGTGGGTCAAACGCCCGAGTCAAGTTTTTAAGCTGCACGTTGTCTCTGGCGAGTAATGCATCCGACCCCTCCCATATTTTATTTGAATATCGGCTTCAGCCATCGAACAGAAGATTTAGGGTCCCACAGGCTTGACAGGACAGACTGCAGAACTCTTTTGTTTCTCCGTCTGTCAAACTGTTACATCAGAGTTTGGGTTTCTAAGTAGGCCTCGGTGTTCCTGTGCGGACGAAGCACTGTTTGCTAAAGGGAGTGATAAAATTGATGCACTGCAGCCCCTTATTCGTAACATCTAATGTAATATGTGTTGCAATATTTGTTTTGCTGTCTGGTTAAATCTTGTGTTTCGTTATTTATGTCAAACAGTGTATGCCCTGTGACACAAGACCAATTTCAGAAGAATATTCTGATAATAAAGTCAAATCAAATCAAATGACAGCGTCGACATGTTGGATGCCCCCGACGACATGCCTGAGTCACTACTGTTGTAAGCCCCTTGGCCGTCCGCGAGCCCGCCCAACGAGGATGACGGTGAAGATGACGATGCTGGTGACGATGAAGAGGTGCTATGTGAGCGCAGAATGGCCCCGGCGGCACTGCAGTGGGGCCGGGGCCCCGGTTCAGGGGTGTAAGTAAAGGTGAGGGCGGTGGCGTAGATGATCCCGTCATTGCGGACCAGCGTGACGGGAACCTGAACCGGCTGTCTCACCCAGCGCCAGCCCTCCCTGAAGGCAGAAATGTCCGGCACCACGCAGAGGACACTCTCCCCACACCTGAGGGGACAGTCGGGTGAGACGAGGGTTTCAGTATTCGAGCCAGTACGCGCTAACATGCGCTCACGGACATAAACACCTCACCTGTACATGGTGTCAGCCTCCACGTCTCCGAACCACACTCTGAGGTTAGGGGTGAAGTTCTGCCCTGTCAGCTCCAACATTGCTACATCGCCTCCACCGTTTAACTTGACACAGACATAGAAAAGAGGTTTTGTGTCTTTAAAAAGGTCTCCTCGAGCTGAGTAAAAACTTAAAGAGGAAGTAGCTGGTAACCAGTGGCGCTCATGTTTGTTGATAAAACAACATTACAAGCATATTTTCCAAAGGATAGGCTGTGTGCGTACCTGTAGACTTTCCACCACAGGGACAGGTGTGACAGGTGTGAGGACGGGGCCCATACCCTCATAAAAGGTGTATTCTGCCTTGTCAGTGCTAATGATGGTCCAGGAAGCCCCATCGTTAATAATTTCCTTGTTAGTCTCTTTGGAGCAAGCTGTGGCCTGGAAAACAACAACAAAAAAAACATAGCAATACATTTTCCACATTTATATGTAACAGGGAGAAAAACACACTTGTGCAAGCTACCATAGTGTCAGGTAAGAGTTTGCCAATGACAGGGACACAGATTAGACTTCTCCTCTCTTGCCCTGGAATGCTCATTAAAACAATTGGCTAGACCTCTTGTGTGAGTACTAATTTCACAACACGTACCTGCTGGTAGGCAATGCTCTCAGCAGACAGGTTATTATTCTGTTGTCAACAAGCAGAAACAGTAGCAGTATCCCAGCTCACAATAACACTTTTTTGAAAAAAGCCACCGACAGAAACATCACAGAGGTTTCATACTAATAGCTTATACATTCTAAATTGCCTGTAACAATATTATTTCCTTTTCTACAAAAAACTGTTTAAATAAGCTGAATATTAAAAAGTGAGCCACATTACAGATCATAAAATGTGCCTTTTTGGCATGTGTTTAATCTTAATCTTTAATTTTCATAGTAAACCTGTGAAGTGGGAATTCAATTAATTTCCAACACAAACAATGTTAGGTGACTTAGCACTTATCCTGGCATGGATCAGCATGAAACCCTTCCAGATAAATAACTATGTTAGAAATATCTGGATAAAAAGTTGAAGGTACGAGCTTGTGTACATAAAAACTTACGATGAGACAATAACTCCCAAAATGCATTTTTGCTTTGGGTCCTATGCAATAAGGTGATGATTTGTACTTTGTTCTCTCTACCTACCTTGTTCAGCAGGTGGAACATAAAAATGGAACTGACTCACTAAACTAGTCAGGAACGACATTATGTCATTCAGGTTATGTTGCCTTAACACCACTACCAAGAGTATCAAGTCACCGAGCTTAAAAATGTGTTACGTACACCATTTAAAGCAGGCGGAAGCAGCAGCTTAATAATACAATCTGCAGCTTAAACCAATTTATGTTTGAATTCTGGGTAAATTTTGAATGAATGTGGCAACTATGATGCTGTGATCTGTTACCAAGAGCAATGAAAAATATACTACAGCTCTGATTTGTGCCTCTGGCATGCTTCTTTTCTATAGCAACAGTGGTTGAGTTTCTCGAGTATTAGATTTAGAGAGGTCTGTCATGCAAATCTGACTTGATTTCTCAGAAACAAAGTTGAATTAACTAAACCATCTATTGTTTTTTTGTCAATATGAAAAAAAGGAACTGATATTTCACAAGAACCAGACTCAAAAAGCAGAATTACTACCCTGTCAAACTACTACCCGTTATACTCAAACCTGTGTGTGTGTGTGTGTGTGAGAGTGTGTGTGTGTGTGTGTGTGTGTGTGTGATAGCACACCTGGAACTGGATGATCCTCTCCTGTGAGAGACAGAGATACATTCTGTCTGTATCTTTCAGATAGAAGCAACACTTGTGAAGCTGGGACACTGGGTCATCTGCGTCCATTAATGCTGTCTGCTTGTCCACTTTGCGAATCACCTGAGGGATTATGGAGGCAAACACAGCCAACATAAATACACAGAAACAAATAATGTACGTGCAATTTAAAACAAACACATACGCACAGTTACAAGCACGTCTGCGGCCTTATAGACGTATGCATACCAGTCTCGGCAGGGCCATGCCAGTAACAGAACAGACCAATTTGACCGTCTGGCCATAGTGAATATAGCCATCTCTCACAGCAAACTCCTCTCCTTCAGACTCTTCATCGTCCACTAAACAAAATGACACAGAAAACAAAAATTAATTGAATGTCTAGAACCTTCTGTCCCTTTAAATAAGTGCTACGGGTCATTGCAAATAGTCAACACATGAAATAAGATAACTACACCATTAAAATGTTCAGAAAAAAAAAAACAGAAACAAAGGAAACTGGCACACAGGATAAAATAGAATGGGAATGAAGATACTGTGACTTACAGAGGTGGATGTAGAAGGCACCCCATTGTTGGGAGCTGGCAAGAAAGTTTCCCCCTTCCACATGAAGATACCTGGTACTAACCGTCTGGGAACGCAAGCGGTTAAACAACGCCACCTTGGTCCCCGAAGCTATACACACTGGGGAGATAAAGACAAGAAGAGTGAGTGAGAGCGAACGACGAGATGAGCTACTGTGTACGTGTTTGTTGTGTTTGTTGCACATCCTGCAACTCACAATCTGCGTTTTTCAAGGACTGTTTCTTCTTGGAGGGCTTGGAGATGACCTTGATCCTCTTGCTGAGGAAAACTCCTATGTTGGCGCTGTTTCCATAGAGCATCTTCACAGACAGCATGAAGTGTTTCCTTTTATCTGAGTCGCTGATATACAGTGTCTTAGCTGTGCAGAAGTGCTAAAGCAGGGAAGAGATAGCGGTTAGGGGATTTTGTGTGACTGTGTGTGTGTTTTTTTGTTTGTCCCCCTTTCACTTCCCTTTGTGCCCTTCTGAGAACAAGTTCATTAGTGGCATTGATGTAATAAGAAAACAAGCAGGAGGCATGAACATTGTAAACAGGGTATTGCAGCAACAAACAGAGGATATGATCAAACTGCAAAGCGAAGCAGATGTTTATTTCACGTTGCGGTTACTTTGCACAGTAGTAGTGAAGCAGAGCAAGTACGCTGTATATTGCGAAATCGAGTAGAGAGAGTATGTGAACAGTGAAGATTTCCATCGCCATCACATGGAAATAGAATCAAAACCCCTGCAGTACTGTGGCATTCTATCATAAATCCCTACTCACCTTCCCCTCCAGATTGAGTTGCTGCATCTCCTGCTCACTGTTGCCTATCCCAATGAACGCACATGGCTGGGCCTCCTGCTCTGTGCAACCCTCCTTCTCCATATTCTCCAACTTCTTCTGCCAGCCACTGCCCATCAGATACACGCATGGTGGAGGGCAGAAAAACCTAATTGAGACAAGCAGAGGTCAAAAAACATTCCGAAGCATGTATTTTCAACAGCATATCATTCTCCATCAAACGCCTTCAAACTGAAGGCATGCAGCTTTTTGACCAACCTTTTTTCATTGCCGTATGACTTTTGTGCAACTTTTGCATGTAGTATGAGCACTGTTTGATCATCTTTGCCCTTCAAGTAATTCCTCATGGCCTCCCTAAAATGGGAAACACGTGTTAACACTTTGACAGCACAGTACAGATTGTTCCAGCATCTACTTTAATCAGCTTCTCCTTACCTTGTCAGACGCTGAGGCTGAGGTCGCTCACCAAACTTCCTGCAAAAAAAAAAAAAACATCAGGGTGCAAGGTGTTTACGGGTAGTTTCAGTGCTGAGGTAGCGTGGCGAAGATTAAAACAACAAGTTTGACTAAAAGCAGGAGAAAAAAGTGAGGCAGAGTGTATAATGTCAGTAATATCTGTAAAGCAGGGTGGTGGCACTATCACAGCTGGTTAAGAACTAACACAAACATGCAGAACCACAGATCCACACATGGTAAACAGTTTTGTGTACACCGTTTAGTTTAATGGAGCTACTGTACATTATATATTACTGTAATAATGCAGAGTTTAAAAGTACATCTGTAAAACAATGCTACACTACTATACACTATAAATAGTGCCATAACTATAAATAGTTCTATAACATATTATGAACTGATCACTCTCTATTTGAGCTACTTTTTGATGATAGGGAAATTAAAACTAAGTAATCTGGCAATAATCTGCTATAACTCCTGAAAGCAACTGCTGTGACGGTAATGTACGTTAACAACAACATCCTGAGTAGTTTGTATAAAAAAAAAAAAATTATTACATTGTTGCTGTACTCGGCTTGTTGAAACAGAAATGAAACAGACACAGAAGAAGTAGCTAAGCCAAAATGCAACACTGCTGACTGACAAAAAGTTTTGGAATTAGTTTGAAACAGAGTCAATATCGCAAGGACAGCTCAACAAATGGCAGAGAAAGCAGGCGATCCTACGAAGAATAGTTTTGCACAAGTGACCCCACATCAGCCACAAGTAGCACTGTGTGGGGTAAGCTAACTGAGGCCAGGGCAACAGTGCGAACACACAAAACATCCCTCCAACACAGTACACACTGGCAACGCTTTAACACAAGATAACAAAACTTTTTAAATTAAACTATGCTTTGAATTTCACCACTTACCCCGTAACAACGGGCGCCATCTTCCAAATAACTCTCCCCCCCGTAAGAAGAAAAAAAGAAAAGGTCCAACAATCGCGAGATCCCTCCCCCAGTCCCCTCAACCAAAGGCAACGGCACAACAGAAAAATACTGGAAGGAAAAGCAAGGAGAGAAAGAGGGGGAGGTGTGACGGGGCAAAGGGGTGAGAAGAGAGGGAGGGAGTGGCGACGGGCAGAGGGCAGACGCCAAAACAACAGGCGTGGGAAAGTTACAAAGTCGCGCGAGAACGGAAAAACTCTCACAATAGACATGAATGGAGATGGGCCGATTATATCGCGAGATGAGGAGGAAACCTTACAACTGGCTTTTTTTCTTCACAAGGCTCTCGCACTGTAACTCGATTCCCACGCCTTATTGAGCAATAAAGCAAACTACACCTCTCTACATGGAAGAGCTAAGAAACACAGAAGTGAGATAACCAAGGGTTACGTGAACTAGAACAGAAAGAAATATACTTATACATTCTTCACATGGCCTTTATAAGACTAATATTTATTTTCTTCCAAGAAGAATCAGTACGCTTTAAAGGCTTTAAGACATGAATTTGAAAGACAAGAAGTGATTAGAACAACATTATAATAAAACTTAGTGAACAGTAATAATATTTTGGAATATGTTTTATTACATCAACAAAGTCACATGGTGAATATAAAAAAATAAATGTATAAAAGTTTAACTAAATGAATTTCATCAATTTAGATATTACTAGATGAACAATTGCTCCAAAATCTCAAACAGCATTCGGATAGTCTTATAGACTGAACATATAATTTAGCAAAACGTGTTAATAAAAGTATTATTTATGTTAACCGTCAATTGTAGAAGTGGCACAGTTAGGGTGTAATGGCGCCAGTTTTATGGTGAGATAAAACATCATCAAATATATATTTTCTCATTTTGTTCTCACAATTAAACTACTGTACTCGGGCAACATACAGTTGAACAGATTTCTTTCAAAATTCATGACACATTTGACAAAATGTGAAAAAATGGCGACCCAAAAATAACCAGCTTTTGGCAAAAGCAAGGAAAATCATTTCTGCCAGTGCTGAAAGGGGGAGTTCTGTGACTTCTCCTTTTGAAAACCTAATCAAAAAGAAACATTCATGCATGCTTTGAATTTAACAAAATGCCAAACAAGCAACCTCCAGTTGGTTTCAATAGTCATCTGACATGACCTTCTTCACTTCCCCTTGGTAACACGAAGCATCATATGTCAAACTGGGCACTTGCTGAGGGAGGGGGAGCAGAGGATTGCCAATGGAAAACACTTGCACTTCAGCAAGCCTACACACTGAGAATAATAAACAATGATTAAACTGCACAGACAACTGAGGAATGACATATTGAAGTTTAACTTTCATATTTCAAAACCCCTACATACTGTTTCCCCTTGTTGAGATATCACTTCCGAAATGACAAAAGATCACAATCATTCTTGGTAGCCTTTTTCCTCTGTGGCTCTTGAAGAGTCAATTTCACAAAAAACCCACTTCATTTTTCAGAGTAATGAAACAGTGCTTAAGATGGCAGTAAGGGATTCTCCCAAGGGGAAGTCCACAAGGGCTTGTTAAACCACTACTGTAACACCCCGCTGCTGTTATATGAGGAATGAAAACCAGCATCTATAACACACAGTCGAACAACAGATGGACGTCGGTCTTCATAGTTCTCAAGTGCTAAAACTATTCTTGGACAAGTTCTTCCTGAGTCAGTTAAGATATTTGGCAGGGGTCAGTTGCTTCATATCTGAGCCTTTAAACATTTTGGTCCTATAAAGTAGTAGCTAAAAATTGATAACACTGAAAAACAAAACAAAAAAACGGTATTTAAAAGAAAAAACCCATATATGTTCAGAGACAGAGAATCAACATAGTTTTGACAAAATCAATCAGTCTCCTGTTTCCCGCTTTCCAAATGATTTCAGAACTCCAGCAATTCAGATGTAAACAATGTCCTCTGGTATTGTTGTCTGGCTCACTTCTAAATTTTCCAGAATATCTTTTTTCTGTAGAGCACATAGGAGATAAAGACCCAACAGGAAGTAGCCACGAGGTTCTGGGTGAGGTGCTCTGTGTGGGATTGGCTGTTTGCCATTTGCCAGCGGAAGGGGAAGTACTCCTCAAACACTTCATGGCCCACGTACACAAGGATGGAGTTCATACCTGAAATCAAGCACACAAGTCAGTGAAGCAAAGGCCACAATGATGTTCAAACGAATAGTCTCTATACTCTCAAAAGGTGGTCAATTTGGTAGACGTAATTTCTCTGTACCCTAACAGGCAGACTGTGCCAGAAGTTTAGTGATTGTGTAGACTTAATAATCATGTATGTGCTAATATTGATCTACATCTCCACAAATAACTGACTGATTGACAAACTTAGTGAAAATACTACATTAGACTGAGAAATGGAAGGTTCAGTTGGTTAAAGGTCCAGTGTGTAACACTGACATGGCTCTATTGGCAGACATGGAATATATTATTCATTAGGTATGTTTTAAATAGAGTATAATCAACTGAATATAGGAATCCTTATGTGTGGTTATGTGACCTTTGAATGACCCGTTTATATATACAGATGCCGAAGGTCACCTTCCATGGTTGAACCACCATGTTTCTACAGTAGCCCAGAGGGGACAAAGCAAACACTGGCTCTAGATAGGGCTGTTTGTGTTTTGTAGCTACCATAGTTTCTCCTTTGTGCTTGGAAGGGGAGGTTGAAGCGATGGAAACTACTGAATCTTGCTGCTGCAACTAAATCCTACACACTGGACCTTTAATATGTGATATCAAGCCGAGTGCACTAAATTCTTATTGTTAAAATTGTCTATTAATACTGAGCTTATAGCTAACAAAACAACAAATCTCACCAGGGTAGTAGAAAGGTGCTCCAGACCACCACTTCTTCACATCCACTGTGTAGTAGACCAGCACTAGCAGCACATAAGCAAAACAGGCCAGTGTTGTCACATAGGACAGAGACCTAGAAGTAAAATAAACGGACACACGCAGCATTGTTAAAGACATTCTACTGCAAATGTTCATTATAGGATATCCCTTTCTAGTCTAACTGCACAAAACTACTTTCATACATGGCTCAACAATTTCTCATCTGTGGCTCACAGGAGCTTTTGCTTTTTTTGATAGGTGACTCAAAATTTAAGCTAGTTAAAATCTTGGACTGCATTTTCTTATTTGTGTGTTAAATTGAACCCAATGTGGAAAACCTGCACAGTACTGGAATTACGTGACTTATACAACATGAGTGTGATATCATGTTTTTAAAACATTTAAAAACAAAGTGAGGAAAGGAGGGACTACAAGATATATTGTCTGAAAAATTGTCACTGGTCCATCAAAACATAAAATAAAGTAGGCACAAACAAATCGCACCATACAGCAGAAAGAATAACAGTATCATAGATATAATATAGATCTCCAGCACAAAAGTTCTAAAAACCACATAAAACAAAAGACCTGTGAACACAAAGATATCAGACAGGGTGGTACGCAACCATAAAAAAAAAAAAAAAAAAGTAAACTACTCTATTCCTTGCAGCAACTTCCCCAAATATTCAGTCAGCAAAGCAATTGCTGAGCAAACATTGTTCCATCTGAAAGTGCAGAAAAGCAAACTTTACCATAGATTCTTGTTGACAGGAATGAAGCCCTGGTCTGTGGAACACTTGGTCAGAACTGCTGATATGACTCCCTGTGTGTTACATGAAACTTTATTGTTTGCTCAGGAAAAAAACAACACGTCACGAAATAAATGTGCGTAATAAAATTGAGATCCTATTCAGCAAAAACAAACAAATTCATACACAAACAAGTTAATGTGCTTACCAATACGAGACCCCATATAAGGAATCTTGACATTATACTTGTGTGGAGATCTCTGTAGTGTAAGATTATTTTTCCTGCCTAAATACAATTAAAACATAGAAAATGGGTTCTTTTTGGTTATTCCAATGAGATATATTATTAGCATTTTTGACATCAGAAATATAGATAAAAAGCAGAGAACCACACAAACACAAATTACAAACCTGTAATCCAAGAAAAGCCATGAGGATAGAGTTGATGCTGCCAAGAACACCTTCCGGATCATATGGCATATGAGTTGCATAGATCACCTTAATTCAGATGGAAACAAAAGTGGATTTTGGTGAACAAGTTCTGACACCGTTTACCCTTGCATCACCTGTAGTAGCTATGGTTGGGGTTCAGGGCCCATCAGATAGGGATAGAAAGACTAAATGTGACTACGGTCAGTATGTTAGGGTTGTTTCCTTGGTCACTAACCCGTGACGAAGGTGTCTGGTAGATGTGGTTTTCTCCAAGCAGCCATCGATCAAGGAAACCAGCCGCTCCACCGGTGCAGTTAGCATACAGGCCCATGTCCCCAATCCCACCTGGACCCAGATAGCCGCTGTTCAGGAGAGTAGGGTGACGTCAGTGTTATCAATTAATGTAGGATAAAGGGTATTGGGAGCAAGATTAAGGTTGGAAAACAAACACAAAAGTAAGCATGCAAGGGATTTTTCATCAAAGTTTTGATTCTGCTTATTTTTTCAATTGTTAAGTCTTTTATCAATTCTTTTAAAATACATTGTTAGGAAAACAATCATACTTAAAAAAAGACATTATATATATATATATATATATACACAGCCATTTAGCATCTCACATTGTCAAAGAGTGCATATCTCTGCCAAGGCTGTGCAATTCTCTAAACATAAAAAATGACACTGAACCTAGGTCTGATTTAAAAATGGATTGATAGTAAAGCAGAGCCTTCACACAAACATAAGGATCAAACACACGTACAAAATACTTTTCAGAAGTGTAAAACCTTGCTGCTTGTTGAACATTGCCCTTATTGCATGAATACAAAAAGACAAACAAACATGACCCATGCGACTCACGTTGGGCAACCTGGTACAGGAAGTGCAAAAGTGAGGAAGAGCCAGATCATTTCTAAGAGAAGCACACACAACCAGGCCGGCCAGTACAGCAAGATGTCAAGACCAGGAGACCACCAAGCATCCTGGAAAACGCAGACATAAACACTTTTGTTCCCCTTTACATAATTAAGAGATTACAGTCTCAGACACAGAAATATTTATCAATTTTACTTTAGGTAGCTCTTGTACCTGTTTAACACTGAATAGAAAGTTATGAGGGTAAAATGGAGCTGTTGGCTGACCGTTGGAATGACATCAAGATGACCTCTCGCCACCAACAGATCCAGGCAGGCTACAGCTAGGTATGACCAGGCCAGGCGCTGCAACACTCCTGGGATCCGCAGGTTGTTCCAAGATACTGTGGAGTGGGTTAGGATGGAGTGTGAGCACACATGCAGGCAGAAACAGTCCACAGTTCTGGAACAGTATCTATAACTATTAATTAATCTCCATGTGTGTTTATACTTACATGGTCCCTGGCAGTAGTTTGGGTTGATGATAAAGACACCAATGATGAAGAGTTGCAGGCTCCTCCAAAGAATTTTCACCAGCAATGAGCGGCGGGTCGAGCCTGCACGGAGCATGGCGTTCATTGACAGGGCGATGGATGTCCCCATTATGAACACAAACCTGGGGAGGGAGGGAAACACGAGGTGTGAACAAGTTGGACAAAAAGAGGAGTACAAAACACAGGCTTCATTTAAAATATGAGCATTAGCTTTACACTTCTTGACTGAAAGCTTTACAAAGGAAAAAACTGATAAGGTTTATTATTTTATTTTCATTTATTCAATTTTCTTTTTAGAGACAGGGGACGTTTCAGTGCAACTGCCATTAAGAATGTTTAAACCTTAATTGCTGTTTAAGAACATTTCATTACATTTTCATTACATTTTCATTACTACTACTACTACTACTACTAATAATAATAATAATAATAATAATAAAGTATTAAAATATCTTTCCAAATCAACTGTGGGGCCAACTAATCTGCAATAAATAAATAAATGTCAGGAAAGAAATGAAATTGAGCTTACCAAGGAAAGACTAGATCTGCAACAGTAAGGCCTGTAAGCAGACAAAGGGAAAGCACAGGCTTAAATATTCACAATAATACAAAGGCAGTTTCCAAAGATGTGTGAATAATTGGACATTCAAAAAGTAAGAACAATGTACAGCTCACCATTCCAACTTTCGTGTCTAAAGAACCAGTATCTTCCCCCTCCATAGTTCACAAACACCATAATGACCAAGGAGATACTGACAGGAAATACAGAAAATCCCCCATTACTGAAAGGCATTGAGCACTGTAGGCAAGAGATTATGCCAAACAAAACCAGCAAAAATACACAGACAATTATTGTTTCAAATGATGCATCAAAGTTAAAATGTAACAGAAATACAGCTAAAACGGTTCACTTTAGGAGGAAAAATCTCCTCCAAGTCACCAGATCCATGTTAATATTATCAGTAAGGCCTGATTAATGAGTGGCAATTCCAGCGTCAGATGCCAAAATGTCACAATGCAGTGGGAATCACATGATACAGTATGGTTAATATCATTCTTTAAGCAAGCTGAGCTGCTGTGGTGAAGGGGGGGAGGCACGGGGGCCTACCCTCTGAATGTGTCCAGAGATCGCAGCCTCTTGCTGGGGCTGGGTGGTGGAGGGAGGATGTTGTCAGTAACTGGTGCCCCTGTCCTGCCCGGGGATCCCAGCTCCTGAATAACAAAAGCTGCATATCATCACAGTTCACTTGGAAGCATATGTGCACACGAATACAAATAATGGTTAAGATGAATTTTGTGCTTCTACTCAATATCTGTTTTGAAAGGTTTTCAAAAGGCTTGTTAAACTGGAAGAATGCTGTGTACACAAACACTCACAGAGTTGATGAGCCTCTCTGTCTCCATGGTGCCGCTAATTCGGAAGAGGATAGCCTTCACGGCATCCAGCCTGGACAAGAAGCAACCAGCTAGTTTAGTAGTCATTCGATAATATATATAGCTCACAGTTCACACTTGAGACACAAGAATACAGCAGCAGGGACTCTCTGCGCTTGGCAGTAATCTTAGCAAGATATGTTTATGCCACAGCACTGCAACGAATCAGGCTATTAATTCAGTGTAACATGTGTAGATTAAGTTTTGTTTATACATTTAAACAAGATGTATAGATTAGTAGAAAACGAACAACAAAACAAAAAAAATACATTACCCTAATATTGTTTTCCCAATAGCAGAAACCAAGGCCAGTCCAGCAAAGATAAGGAAAGCTACCAAGATCGCTGTGTGGACAGAGTGGCACATTATTATAATGTGGCATGTTCTTTGTTTTTAACTATCAAAACCCTTGACAAACATCCACGTCATACATGCTTATGATTGTGTTTATGTGAGTGAGACTCACGTATGTAGCTGTTGACGGGGTCTGCATGGGTCACTAGGGAGCAGTTCACCACTGACGAGTCATTCAGGTTTTTCACCCACACAGAGTAGTTCCCATGCTCCCCAAAGTGGAATGGAACCCTGGAAATAACAAAATGATATGATAACCAGACA